ACAGTGAAATCTACAACTTGAGTCTCAATTTCTCAAATCTGAAAGATGAGGCTACGAGTGCTCATCCTTCTTTGCTCATAGGATTATTCTGAAGACCAAATGCGATGATGAAAGTGAAAGCACTCTGTAAAGTATAAACTGCTGTGCAAGAACAGTTCCTCAGATAATTACTGAGTAATTTCTATGTATCAGTGCTGTGAAAAACTCTGAGGATTTGAAATTGACTAGGAAGGTATTCCAAAAGAATTTCTATCGTTTTTCATTAAATCTTAATATTTCCAGAGGATTAGTACATTTAAGGAATTGTAAGACACCCAAGACTTTGATAGATGAATGATAAAAAATAAATAAGGATATGATGAAATTAGTTTTCTTTTTTTTTAAATGTATTTATTATTATTATACTTTAAGTTGTAGGGTACATGTGCATAACGTGCAGGTTTGTTACATATGTATACTTGTGCCATGTTGGTGTGCTGCACCCATCAACTCGTCATTTACATCAGGTATTCTGCAGAAATCACCTTAAAATAGAACTTCTTCAGGTCAAATATCTTAAAAAGGGACAAAAGGCCAAGAATCTAAGGAAGGTTTGTTTAAATATAAAATAAACTCACAATAATAATGCTAACAATGATGATAATAGCCACTACCATTTACTTTGTATTTAATAATTGCTAGACACCATGATATGCATTTTTATGTACTGAATCTCATTTCTCACCACAAATTCGAGCAGTACATATTTTCATTCCATTTTATAAAGGATAAACAGAGGTTCTGAGGAGTTAAGTAACTTGCCTAAAACGATATTGCTAGGAAGTAACTGATTCAAACCCAGGATATCCACGTCCCAATGACTGGATGGCGTGGTGTAGTGAAAAGAGCATGTAGCAGAAGTAGGAGTTTGGGATGGGGACAGTGTGGAGGTGTCCTGTGTAAGGTGCCCAGACAGATAAAACTGATCGGGAGATCCCTAGACTTGCCCATGAGTGAGGATGTCCTGATGTATAAATATCTGCAGGTAGCCATGGGGCAGACTGGCTTTGCAGGTACCTGTCAAGGCATCAGACCTCCCATAGCTCAGCAAATCCAGCTATTGAAATTACACAGCTCTGACTTTGTGCTCACCAAGCTACTGCCCAATAGCAATTTAGTTTCCGGTGTACATTTGTCTCCTGGGAGGGAATATGCCAGTCATCTGAACTTATAATTTGAGTACACTTGAACAAAATCAACAAAGATGGATGGATAGACCAGAGTACCAGACTGGACTGACCTCCTAAGCTCCATCAACTCTGTGTGCCTTGGATTCAATTAGCTTTCTGGGTCTTTGAAACTGATGGTGAAAGGTGGTTCTTGGGCCCTCCACAAAAATTCAGCCCTCTCAGAGTTTGGGCCTAGGCTGTTAGTCAGCCCTCATCTTTATCTTACACGAAATTGAACACAGAACCTACCATAGTTAAAGATTATCACTCAAACACATGGATATTAATTTTTCATGTTGCATCTAGACCTTTTGGTTTATCTTAGTTCACAGGACAAACCACAATACCATTTAAACACAATAGGATTTTGATTCTCATGTATAAGTGTGTAGGAAGCAGTGTTTCAATTAGCATCACCAATGAAATTTAAAAGAAACATCTAAAATACATATTTTGCTAATGCTTGTGGTGTATCTGGGAGTTCCTTAAATACTGTTGGCTAGTTTGGAAGACAGTGATGGATGCCCTGATCATGAACTTGGGCACATCAGCAGGGCACTGATGGAGCACCATGCCAAGAGCAGGAGCTCGGGGCTCGGGTGGACCTGGGTCTCATTTCTGGCATATGCTCCTATTCATTGCATGAAATGGAGCCTGCCTGAACTTCAGAATCCACTTTTGTTAAGTAAGAATTAAGTACACCTACTAAAAAAGTGATAAATGTTGAGCGTTTTTTGTCTATCAGCAGCACTTCAATGGTAACCTGTAAGTCATTGCTCTTTCGAAGACATGATTAAAATTAAGCAGAATAATCACAATAATGATTCCCACATATTCTGCCCACAAGAGTAACAAAAAGTAAATAATAAACACAAAAAGTGGTCCTATGATAGCTCTATTCCACAATTCTGTTTGTGTGTGTGTGGCGAGGGTGGCGGGGGCCGGGGGGGTCGTTATTTTTACTGCTTATATCTACCCTGATGCTTCTCAGTTTTATTGGTAACATCAGTGAATGTTTGGTTTAATTTGTTAAAAAATCAGAAATATAATTTAAATTCAGATACTTATCTCTCTGGTTAATAATTTAGCCCCTTTGAACATTTTATGTCTCTTTGTCATGCTGGAAGGGTAGGTACAGTCTGGAAGAACTCTGCAGAACTCAAGTCTTGGCAGATGTTGGCAGTAGCTTTGATAGTGGATATAACTGCTTCATGTACTAGGATTCAAAAAAGGATGCTTCTAGATCGCCCTCTACTACTCTTCATGTGACCATTTAGCCAGTTCCTGGCTGTCTCTTCTGTGTCAGACACTGTGTGCACATTTGCTCTCACTCTTGAAGCAACACACAAAATGTATTCTTCCACCCAGTTTCCAATTACACAACACCAGCAACAGCTAACTGAAGATCAGAGAGATTAAGCTACTTACCTAAAGACAAACAGTGAAGTCACACACTAGATTCACATCCATTTTTGACGATCTCAAAGCCGTTTCCTTCCATTTCACCAAGTTGTCCTTCCTCATCTTTTCTAAGCCCCAGTTTCACCTTTTAAATGCTCTAACATGTGCTCTGTCTACTTCATTAAGTTGTTAAGATCATTCAAGAAGAAAATATGTATTCAAAGGCCTGGATTACATAAGGCTACGCAACTGTGGAATATTACCATTCTTTAATGAGATTATTAAAATACGATATTTGTAAACTTACGTGTATTAATCAATTCCGTAGTGATTGTGGTCACATTTTTTTTTTTTTTTTTTTGAGATTGAGTCTTGCTCTGTTGCCCAGGCTGGAGTGCAGTGGCCGGATCTCAGCTCACTGCAAGCTCCGTCTCCTGGGTTTACGCCATTCTCCTGCCTCAGCCTCCCGAGTAGCTGGGACTACAGGCTCCCGCCACCTCGCCCGGCTGGTTTTTGTATTTTTTAGATATTTTTGTATTTTTAGGTTTCACCAGGTTAGCCGGGATGGTCTCGATCTCCTGACCTCATGATCCGCCCATCTCGGCCTCCCAAAGTGCTGGGATTACAGGCTTGAGCCACCGCGCCCGGCCTTATTGTGGTCATATTTTATGAATAAAATCAGAGGTGATTTGGAGTGAAGAAAGAAAGTAGTGGAGAAAGAAGCCAACACTTATTGAATACCTGCTAAATGTTAAGAATGCACCATATTTCATGTAATATAAATATTACGTTATTGAGGCTAAATAATTGTCAATACAAGTCTTATGAGATCTTACTCTATTAAAAAGAGGCAGGAATTGAGAGTCAAATATGAAGTCACATCCCTTGTCCAAGTGGCAGAGTCAGGATCCTCACCATTTTGCTCAGGCATCAAATCCTATGGACTTTCTAAGACAGCACCTGACTCGTGGCAAAGTGATCAAGAAACAGAATCCGCTGGTGTTCAGGCCAGAGCTGGCCAGATGGTACAGAAGATTATAAGCATTGGTTTTCAAATGGTCTGGCCTATAGAGTCATCTGAGAGGGCTTGTTGGGAATAAGAAAGAAATACTACCATTTAGATGGTTCGTGTCAGAGACTACACAGGAGTGAGTTTAGAGATGAGCTCTGTGAAACTGCAAACCAACACTGTTCACCATTCTGATCAGTTAGTCAGGAAAATCAGTTTCCTTTTGAATTCCGTTACTGACATTAGTGACTGAACAACCTTGCACATATTACTTAGAGAGCTCAAGTTCTTCACCTGTAAACCAGGGAAAGTAACAGCCAACTCTCCAGGCCAGCAGGAGCTGAAGGTAAGTAAATGCCAGTTGCCATTCCTACTTCTCTAGGGCATATTGTATCTTAAGCTTCTCAGGATTTCTGAAGCTCTGTCATTTCTCTGGTAGGCCTTCAATTAACCAGGTCTACCATTGTCTTCCTGATATTTGAAATGATTATTCCTGGTGGTTTGGGAGGCCCCTGGAAATCCAAAGAACAACACTATTGAGGAGCTGTGCCACAGTATAGGCAAAGAGAGACAGCCAGAGAAACAGCCAGGTAGGTAAGTAATAAACAAGTAATACTCACAACAGAGAAGTCAAATAAGTAAGACTGGTGTAAAGTAATAAAAACAGTATTGATAAAAAGTTCAGACATATCAACACCTTTTAAAATCAAAGTATCCATATTTTGATGATAGTCATTTTCTTTTCTGTCTCACTCCAGTTTGTTTGCTTTATCCAAGAAAAACCCAGTAGAGATGACTCCTGGCAGTTTTCAAGGTAAGAAATTTAACCCCAACTTTAACCTCACTTTTGAGCTCCTTACTTTTGTGAGGGGAAGGATGCCTGTGTGATTCCAAAGTCTAAGTCTCCTCTACACACCAAAGCAGAAAGAAAATCGTATTACTTTAGGGAATGTTAAAAATATATTTCCACAGGGCTCCAGGAGTTAACTTCTACTTTGAATGACCTACTTTGAATGGAGGCTTTCTTTCTAGGGGGCTGACTTAATGAAAGTCAGCCAGGAACGGCAACCTTGGGGCCTGGTCTTTATATTTCAGTTGCAAACAGTCAGGGAGTCCAAGCTCCAGGCAAAGAAGATTGAAAACATTTAGTCTTTTAATTTTCTGTGGGTAGGTATCCTGATTCCTTCTCCCAAAAGAATGAAAGGATCTTTAACAATTGAGTTAAGGGCTTTCTTCTTGCCCCTTTGATGCTATATAGAGGGCCCTGACTTCCACGTTAGAAACACATTTTTCCTTGCTGCTCAGGTCTTTCCTAATGATCATTTATGACAAGGACATGGCCATCAGATGATCACTCACAAGAGATGGCCTAATGAGTTTACCTGAACAGCGTGGAGAGCACCAAGAGATCTGGGCTGAGGTGTCCGTCCCCTGTGAGGAGGGGCGGTAGCGCGGAGACCTTGGGGTGCTGGAAATCAGTAAGGCGGTGGGTTGAATTCTTCTCAATGCTAAGCAGTACCCTTCAGCAGAAAACCTCCTGATATGTCCGTTTTAGGCTTGGTTTCCTGTGAAATGCAGCCGCAGACCTGAGAGGTCTGACCTGAGGGCTGGCAGGACTTCCTCTTCTTAGGCTGGAGTGCAATACGTGAAACTCTTTCAGAGGCTGAAATCTTCCAACCCAAAGGGTGTGTTTAAAGACACACGGTGTCCTTACGTGGCACTTCATAGTTACCAGAACACAATAAAAGGAACTACTGGGCAACACTCAAGCATGGAAGGTGGGTTTTGTGAGTCTTACTTAACATGCATAGTGGACATTAACTATCTTGTGGCTTAATTTTGCAATGGCTTCCTGAGGCCCCCCCAGACACAAGGACCAGGTGTTGTGGAGAGAACCTGGGAACTAAAGGATAAATGCCTGCCGTGTTAATTATTAGCTATGGGATCTTGGACACTTTGAAGTTTATTTCTCAAGTAGTTTGAGTGATAATAATATTTGTATTTTAGAAACTTTTTTAAAAAATGAGGGATAATTGAGGATGATATTTCCTTCATTGAGGAAATGATATTTCCTCAGTTGTGATGGAAGGATAATAGCATTTATATTTTAGAAATATTTTAATAAATAAACAAAATATTGTAAATAAAGGCATGCAACAATGTTTGGGCACATATTAGCTGCTTAATATATTTTCCTTCTGCCTTAATCTTGGTCCATTTAAGCTGATCTAGCCGAATGCCTATTTTCCATTCTGGGGATGTGACATTCTAGTTTTATATAAATTGATGTTGAATTCCATAACAAACCCCAACGTTATTTACAGTAAATTCAAAGGTAAAAGTTTGTATTTTCTTGGGTAAATAACTCTGGTTTTGAGTTAACAGACACCCTAAGGAAAACATGAAAATAAGCACTCTTTGAACGCTAATTATGAGTCAGTTACATTGCTAAGCAACTTGCAAGCATTATCCTCCTTAATCTTACTAATAACCGTGCAAAGAACATATTTTAAATCCCATTTTGTAATTGTGAAAACTGAAAACTAGGGAGACTTAAGTAGTTTAACCACTTTATTAATTAGCTTTTGCTGCATTAGGAGCTTAAAGCAGTAACCATTTTATTTAGTTCATAATTGTGTGCGTCACTTGCTCACTTCTTTTGGTCTGCACCTGTATTAATTTTCTAGGGTTTTCATAACAAAGGACTGAGCCCTGAGTGACTAACAAAACAGAAGACTGAACTGTATTGTCTAATAGTCTGGCCTCTGGAAGTCTGAGATCAAGATGTCGACCAGGTTGGATCCTCCTGAGGGCCGTGAGGAGAGGATCTGTTCCAGGCCTTTAACCCCGGCTTGTGGGTGTCTTTGTACCCTTGTTCTTGTGTTTACGTGGCATTCTCCCTGTGTTTGTGTCCAAATTTCCCCTTCTGAGCAGGACAGCAGTCACAGTGAATGATGGCTCACCCTAATCACCCAATTTTAACTTCATTACCTCTTTAAAGACCCTGTCTCCAAGTCAGAAGGCATTCTGAGGTATGGAGGGGTTAGGACTTTAACAAATGAATTTTAGCAGGGACATATTTGACCCATAACAAGACCTGATCATCTGGTCTGTGCTAGTGGTTGAGAGGCTGTTGGATGATCTAGGATGATCACATTCATACATGTGTTGGTTGACAATCACGTCAGCCAGGTGCCTGTGTTCTCCTCTGCATATCTAACAGGCCAGCTTGGCCCATTTACATGGTGAGTTTGGGCCTCCAAGGGCAGTGGGAGAGGGGAAACCCCAGCCACCAGCCTTTCCCAGGCCTTTGCTTGCGTCCTAGTTGCCATGGTCCCATTGGCCAAAGCAAGTCACATGGCCAAGTTCGGAGTGACTGTGGGAGAAGATTATTCAAGGGGTGAATGAAGAAAAGTGAATTATTGTGGTATTTATTGACAAATAATCTAAAATCCATGTTCACATCCAATTGGTGGCCAGACTGCAATAAGAACCCAAGTCTAACGATATGAATATTACTGCTTTTTACCAAGGAAGAATTGAAGACAGTTTGGTCTAATGACAAAGTTGATAATAGTGTAGGTGATATTTATAGCTTTTTTTCTTGGAATATCATTCATTAATTTATTATCTGTTGAATATGTACCATCCATCAGGAGCTCTATTAGGTGCTGAAAAATACAACTAGGTAAGAGAGATACCTAATCCTTTGATGGAGTTTATGGCCTAGAAGAGGTGAAAATAAATGAATGGACTTCAGATATATATGAAACTACAATTTGTGGTAAATGCAATGAATAGTGCCTGATCAGATATGTATTGATTTAACAAATAGATATTCACATCCACTACCTACTTCTGTCAGGCACTGGGCAAGTTGTGGGGATATAGAGGTGAAAAAAAAAACTTGTCCCTACTTTCATGGAGTTTCGAATCTAATAAAATAGAGAGGTGTTGGACAAGAAATCAACCATCAAGATGATGTATTCAGAGATAGGAACAAAGAGGGCTCTGAAACAAATAAGAGGCACATGTGTTCTACTCTGTGAATTCAGACCAGATTTCCTCTGGGGAGGTGACAGGAGAGCTGAGGTGTTGATAGAAAGTAGAGATTTGCTGGACCAGAAGTGGAGAAAAAAGGGGAGGGAAGAGGAGAGAAGGAAGGAAAGAAGAAACAAAAGAAGTCTTCTAAGAAAGAAGGAAGCAGCAAAGGGAAGAGGAGGGAGAGGAGAAGGGAAGGAGTAAAGGAGGTGTCCAGGAGCATATTCAAGGCCAAAGATATTGTCAGTCTGGATGCCTGGGTGGGAAAAACAGCGTAGCTCACTGAAGGAGCCTATATAGTGAAAGGTGGCTGGAATGGAGAGGGAGCAAGGAAGAGCGTGGCATAAAAGCAGCAAGAGAGTCTCAGTCTCAGGCCAGCTGCAAGTTCCAATCTGCACGTTCTTGCTGCCTGTCCCACATTCCACAGTTAGAGGGACTCCCTTGCGTTCATCTTCTCTTTGGGCGATAATTCATTTTGTTTTCATTGCTTCACGAGTTCTTGCCTCTCATCCCCCATTTCCCTCTTGGGTTCATGGACCCTGAGTCATAATAAGAAGTATAAATCCAGAGAAGTCTGAGTTTTGCCAACCAGGTTACAGTTATCCAGATGTATCCCACAGTGGCTGCCTAGATCTGGGCAAGGAATTTGACCGTTCTGGGCGCCTTATGTAACTTGAGGATGATAATACTTACTTGGAGGAGTGGTTCTTAGGATAAAATTGCTTACCTCCTGCAACGGGCTAGTGTGTGCCTGGCTATACTTAGCATTAGTCCCCTTGGCTTTTGTTGGGCCTGTCTCACAGTGCCACTAAAGCATAGCATGGAACCGCCAGAAATACTCAGTTGTGGATAAGTGATTTAATAGGGGATGCACAATGTGTGTAGAGCTGAATCTGCGGTCAAACGGGATATTTCTGAGTCAGTGCTTGACCTAGTGATTCTGCCAAGTTTTCACTTTCTGGATAATCTACTCAAGCATGAAAATCTTGGGTAGATCATGTGGAAGAAATACAGGGAGGAAAAAAAAAAAAAAACCCAAACAGGACTTTTAAGGTCAATCATATTCAAAGAGGACCATGGTGCCTGGATGACTGGGAAAGAGCTTTTCCTGGCTCTTGCATGGCCTGCTGGGAGGCTAATTTGCAAGGCTGTCAGATTTTGGAGTTACACTGGCTTAGGTCAAATCCCACCCGGTTACACTAATTGGATAAATGTAGATGAGTTTTATAACCTGACTGATTCTCCCCTTTTTCCCCTTTAAAAAGAGGTATAATACCACTAACTTCCTGGCATTGTTAATGCATGAAATGATAAAATTCTCTTACAAATACAAGCAGGTAAGAATATTTGGGCATAACACATCTGTGAACAACCTGAAATCTATTCAAACAGAAGATGTTTAAAAATTTTTAAAGCTTCGGCTATGCATTTAGTGTACATGAGAAGAAACTGACATTTTAATCTATACTTTAAATATCATTTTATTATTTTAACCTTTTAATTTTGAAACAATTATAGACTCACAAGAAAAAAAAAAAGTACAGAAAGGTCCCATGTAGTACCTATCACCCAGTTTCCCCCCGAGGAACAGATTTCTTATGAATAAACATTTTGTGCAGAAACAGATTTGATTCTTAATTCACTTCCTCTTTCTAAAATTGAGGCAATGTGCTGGGGGAAAAATAAAAGATGGCAAAACCTTACCTAACCTTTCCATTTTCTCGCTGTTTTTGCTATCTAAGTTATCTTTTCCTTTCTTTATTTCTTTTTTTTTTTTTTTTTTTTTTTTTGCGGGGGCGATGAGGTCTTACTCTGTCACCCAGACTGGAGTGCAGTGATGTTATCATAGGTCACTGCAGCCTTGAACTCCTGGGCTCAAATGATTCTCCTGCGTCAGCCTCCTGAGTAGTTGGGACCACAGGCACACAACACTGCACCAGGCTAACTTTCTTCAGTTTTGTAGAGATGGGATGTCCCTATGTTGACTAGACTGGTCTCAAACTCCTGGTCTCAAGCAATCCTCCCACCGAGGCCTCCCAAAGTGCTGGGGTTACAGGTGTGAGCCACTACACCCTGTCCTTTTTTGAAATGTTTCCAACAAGACAAATTAAAATGAAGAAAGAAGTCCCTGGTTTTGGGGAAACACCCTGACACCATTTAATGTTTGGTTTCATCCTTTCAGCTGGTAATGACTGCCAAGTTCAAGCTCCTATCAGACAGCTGGTCTCAGGCTGGTATCAAGGCCTGGGATAGCACCTTGCAGCTTACACAAACATACGCCCTCAAAACACAAAAGAGAGCCACTGAACACAATTGAAGAAGGGTGTGTTGTTTGTTTTAATAATTCCTAGTTCAGAGTGCTATCTCCTGCAATGGATCAAAACCCATGCATTTTTTTTTTTAAACAAATTATATGAGTGGAAACCTGTGTTAATTAGTGCCAGCATCTCTGATTTATTACAGTTTAGCACCTGTTTACATTGGTGCCTGAGGCAGTTTGACTCCAGGCCCTTGAGAGGAGCTCAGCTCACACTAATTGCCGTTCCCTTCTCATCTCATAGCCTGTCTCCTTCAGGACACATGCTATGAGCCTCCCCTCAATTAGCTCTGATTTCTTTTTCACAACATGCTAAAACTTTTGAAAGGGGAATCTCCATGTGAGTCCTAACTAGGTGAAGTGACTGGTCACCAAGGTGAGTAGGGGGAAGAACCAAGACAGAGACCTAAGTTCCAAATCTTTTTCCAGCTCAGCATAGCTATGTTTCTTAATTCTA